TTAACATTCTCGAGGTGCGACAGACTATTTTTATACTAAAAAAAATTCAAATTCCTATTAATATATCTTGTAACAAAACAAAATTTTCTATTAATGAAAATTTGTACAAAGTTTGCTCACACATGAAGTCTAGGTATACATATGTTGATAGAACAAAAACTTACAGTGGTGAAGTTAAACAAAAGTTACAAAGGAGAATTTAGTTATGACATGACTGTATCTTCTTTTCAAGCTAGTCCTGATGTGCATTTAACTATGAGACTGCAATTATCCTGAAAAATATTTACCATAGTTTGATGAGTTTGGCTACTCAGTAAGTGATCATCATGGTCCTAAAAATAATCACGGTTGGAAGATATAAACATTTTCTAAAGAATGTAGTTTTAAAAAAAACAACATGAGGAGGAGCATTGCGAACAAAAACATTTATGAATAACAATTTTACTTTTCACAAATCCACAGTTAAACATAATCCAAATGAAGGAAATGCATATAAACATTTTAACAGAGATGCATAATTCAAAGGATTTCATAAAATACCCTATTGGAGTCCCAAGTAGGTCACCTATATACCCCATCAGCGTCCTGATGGGTCCAAACAACCCCTGCAGGTCCAAACGTACATCACCGGGGTACCAGATGAGTCCAAATAGCCCCTATCGGATAGGTCTAAACAATCCTTGCAGGTCCAAACATACTTCACCGGCATCTCGGATGAGTCCAAATAGTCCCTACCAGCGTAATCGGATAGGTCCTAACAATCCTTGCAGGTCCGATCATACCTCACCAACGTCTCGGATGAGTCAAAATAGTCCCTACTGGTATAATCGAATAAGTCCTAACGATCCCTGTAGGTCCACTTATACTCAAATTACCTCTGAAACTCTTTAAACATTAGAAAACAACAATATCATATATGTGAAATATCATTGAAAATATTAACATCAATTCACTTGAAGCAATTTAATAACAATCACTTCCATTGAAATATCTCTAAGAAGCCATTTAAACATTTTATGCAATAATTTCTGAAAGGTAACAGTTTTGAAGAACATTATTGAAATCTAGCATGATAACAGTCTAGTATCAATAGATGAACTTTATGAGAATCCAAAATTAAGGACGGAATTATCATAATTTATAGAATTGCCAATTTGTAAACAATCATTTCATTGACAATACTACAATCAAGTGCAAAAATATCAAATTTTCAAATAATGAGGCAGACATTTGCATATGAATTTTACAATGTCTAAATATTCATAAACAGTAGAAGGAAATCTCATAATTTTACTAAAAGAAGAAATATCACATTTATTTCTAATAATTTACAGTATTTAAAATTCTAAACAATAGGCAGGAAAAACAAATTTATTTCTAAGAATTTACAGTATTTAAAATTTGTAACAATAGATAAAATATCACAATTTTTACTAAAAAGATTATTCTTTGAGATTATTTGCCAGAGTCGAAGTAACAAGAGGACTCAAGAAATGGGGCGTGACAGAGAGGAGATAAAAGTAAAGGCCTCAATGGACAAACATTATGGATTAACCTAGATGATAGAGAAGCAGCCATTCCTCCACCATTGACATTAAGCGACATGAATTAGTAAAAAAAAAACTTAGAAAAAGCCTGGCGAAAGGAGAGAGAGAGAGAGAGTGCTGTTGTTCATAAGGCCCGCAGCTTACCTATGGCTTAAAAAGAGAAACGCAACTCAAGGTATGAGAGAGAGAGAAGTTTCAAATTAAAAAGAAACACTTGCAAGGTGTTTGAAAGTCGAGATGAGAGGGATATAAAGCTTCCATGTTAATAGCAAAGTAGGTAAGATATGAAGTTCAAGATGGTGGACGTAAGGTCCACCTAAATAAAGCTGAACCCTCAAGTGTTTTAACATGATGTAAGTGGGTTGCCAAGTAAGGTGGAGACGCCACCCACTTTTACACCAAAATTCTTATAAAAAGTTGGTGGACCAAGGGTCCATATTAACAAAATGGTCAGGCACAAGCTTAGAAAAAAAGTTGCTAAAATCGTATAAGTTAAAATAATGGTCCCTATAATGCATAATGAACTATAGTTCTGAATATTTATTTATTGTAAGTATTTTATTTTATTTGTTTATGTTGTGTTTATTTCTATCAACACTATTAATATTATGTTTTAATTCTACAAATTTTAGGTCGTCACATTCTCCCTCTCTTAAAGAAATTTAGTCCTCTAATTTTTGTACCTGATTGCTGAAAAAGATAGGGATATTTTTTTCTGATTTCGTCTTCTCGTTCCCACGTCGATTCCTCTCTTGAATGGTACTATCATAATATACGGACCAAAGAAATTTTCTTGTTGCGCAACACTTGTATCCTCCTATCTAGTATCAAAATTGGCTGTTCAATGAAGGATAGGTCCTTCTTGATCGATAAACGTTCATATTTCATGACATGGGATGGGTCGGGCTGATAATTTCGTAATGAGGATACATAAAAGATATTATGGATATTTGCCAATTCGGGTGGTAAGGCAAGTCTATAAGCGACATCTCCGACTCTCTTTAAGATTTCAAAGGGTCCGGTGTAGCAAGGGCTCAGCTTTCCCTTCTTGCCGAATCTCATGATGCCTTTTATTGGTGAGATCTTTAGGAAAACTTGATAACCTTCCTCAAATTCAAGATCTCTCCGTCGGTTATCGGCATAACTCTTTTTTCCGACTCTGAGCTGTCCTGAGCCTTTCTCGAATTAATGTTATCTTATAAGTGGTTACCTGGACGATTTCTAGCCCCAAAAGCGTTCTTTCACCAATCTTGTCCCAACGGATGGGTGACCTGCATTTCCTTCTATACAGGGCTTCATATAGTGCCATCTGAATACTGGCTTGGAAGCAATTATTATAAGCGAACTCAATCAAGGGTAAATGGTCATCCCAATTTCCTGTAGAGTCAATGACACAGGCCCTCAACATATCTTTTAAGGTTTTGATGGTCCTCTCCGATTGTCCATCAATTTGGGGGTGAAAGGCAGTGCTAAAGGTGAGTCTCATCCCCATGACTGACTGTAGCCTAGCCTAAAATTTAGAAGTAAACCGAGTGTCCCTGTTCGATACAAAAGTGACCGGAACTCTATGTAACCGCACTATTTCCTTAATGCACAACTGGGCTAGTCGATCCAAAGTGTAAGTCGTGCGGATCGGTAGAAAGTGGGCAACTTTAGTCAGCCG